CATTCTATTGATTGGACAGATGATATAGATACAACGAATTGACTAGACGATGCGATTGATTAAACTGATAGTATGGATTGATAGACACCGATTGATAGATATTGGCTTCCAGTCACTTATTGATTTGATTGCTGAGACGTATTGATTTATCGATGTTTTTACCGCTGTATTGATTATTGACTATTGATTTCCGTACTGATTTTATTTCCGCTGTTCAGACTTGCTTTCATTGACTCTAGATTTCCGCATTGCATAGACTCATTGACCATTGATTGACTTGATTTACTTTGACCTGCATATTGATAGCATCGCCGTGCTTTGATTTCAGTTGTAGGCTTTGGTGACCTGCTGGGCTTTGTAAGCTCATTATATGTGGTTAAAATTTTCAGGTCCGAGCAAGGCAACTGGAATGGAGTTCGATCAGAATGTCAGACGAATCCTTTCACTATTTGATTCTGGGGCATCACAAAAGCTACCCTACATAAGCAAAGAAATAAAAACTAATGCAGGGCCTAGTAAAAAACCTCAACTATACCACCCCAATTGAAAAAAATAAAATTACAATTGAGATAAACAAAAAGAAGAACGGCTCTTCCGAAGGATCCAGATAGTAGAAACCATGTTAAGAGATGGAAGTAAGAGACCAATATTCGCAACGCGTAGAACCTGGAAGAGAAATTCTATGCAGCTCATAGCAGAAAACCGACCAGAATTGCTCCAGCCAATGAAAAGTGGAGCTTCATAACAAAACAGGTAGGTGCATAAGAAGAGCTGCAAACAAAAACATAACTAAAGATTTCTAAAAAATGGCTCCAATCTCATATAACTAGGACTCAGGTAATAAATCCAGAGAATCCCTGGTTGCCCGAAGGCCGTCCAAGGGGATAGCAGCGAAGTAGACATCGAATGGAGCTTCATCATTGTCCTAGTTATAAATCCCAGTCCAACAGTAAGGCAGCAGAAAGCAGAAAATCCAGCCCTCCATATAAAAAATTATCCAGTAAAATCTCAGCGTTTTTCCAGGTAGACACTTTCCCAATGATCATTTTTTTTGACATAATTTTGTAAAGAAGAAGAGCTTCTGAATTCATTCCCAAATCTTCTACAATTCCTTTCTCTCCATATATTATAAATGGAGCAACATACAGTCAAGAGATAGAAATTCAGAGAGTTTTTAGAAGCAGCATAAACACTTTCCAACCATTGGAACAATTGCAAGATAGTGGGTCTCAACAGAAAATTCTCAAAACCAGGGATGAGAGAGTTGAGAATAGAGAAAGAGTAATGGCATTCAAAATACAGGTGATTAACAGATTCTGGCACAGAGTGGCATAAGGAGCATATCGCCAAGACATGAATATTTCTTAATTTTAAAGCATCTTGAGTTTTCATGCCCACAACCAAAGCAAGCCATACATAAACAACATATTTCAATGAGTTTCTTTTGTGCCATACATATTTGCTCCAACTACAGACAGGGAAAGTTTTATAGAAATCTTCTACAAAATCTCTAATTTTAGGCTTCACATGATCTTTCCATTTTAAACAAGAGCTAGCAGAATCATGAATTTGAAAACTGCAAACAACAGTCTTCAAGTGCTGAGGCACAGCATCAGTAAAGTGCCAATTCAAATTAGAAATATAGTTTTTCAGAAGAGGATAAGAGAAGCAATCCAAAGAAGCATCATCCACAAATTCCGCAAGAGTGGTGTCATTACACCAATGATCCCAGATTAAAGAGATGGGAGCAATAGGTGTTATAATAAAATTGAAATTAGACTTCACAATTACAACAGTTCTACAAACAGATACCCAGAATTTACTTTCTTTGGGTGAAGGAGGTCTCCAAGGGGAAATGTAATGTGAAGATAACCAAGAAGATAATGGAGAAGGGCAGTTATACATTTGGTATATCACAGAGCAATTAAAAGCGAACTGAAGAGCATTTAAAGAAGGAATCCCTAATCCCCCATTTTGTTTAGGCAAACAAACAGTATCCCACGAGACCATATGAAGTTTGTTTATGCTAGCAATGTCTCCAAAAAACATAAATTTGGAACAAGTTTTCCTGAAAAACTTAAAAACAATCTTAGGTAGAACAGATCCTCTTATCCAATAAACAATCGTATTCTGAATAGTGAACTTTAAGTATTGCAGTCTACCAGCAAATGACAAAAGATTAGCCTTCCACCCAGTGAATTTTTTGTGCAAATTATCCATCAAAGGCAAGAAATCTTCAACTTTCAACCAATAGAAGGATATAGGAATGCCTAGATAGGTAATCTTAGTGCTGATATTAAAAATGGAAAGAGCTTGGCACAATAAATCCCGATTCCTCTGGTTTTTAGAAAACATGACAGAGTTTTTATCAAAATTAATGTGTAATCCCGATGCTTTGCCAAAATCATTGAGAATTGAAGAAAAAGAATTCTACAATTCTCAATGATAGCTTCACCAAAAATAAGTACATCGTCCGCATACAAAAGATGAAAAAGATGAAAGTTGTCAGCTTTTAAAACCTTTGAATCCTCTAGCATCAAGAAGATTAGCATTAA